ATGAGATGCTCTATCTCTCTACCTTTGACTCTTAGGAAAACCATTGAGAAACCAGATTAGTGACAGAGAACTTCGACAAGTGTACAATGCTTCACAGTTGGACCGATGAATTTCTTGTTGATAAATATCTTAACGTTAAGAAGCGTGTTGAACTATGGAAATCGCTATCGTTGCCGGAAGTTCAAGTAAAGACATGGTTTCAAAATCATCGTACGAACTGGAAAAAACACTGCACATAACGGATAAAAAAACGTACGGTCACCTATTGAAAGAAAAAGCATGTTGAGTAACTGATAGTGACGTCACTGCCCATGTGAAGCGTCATTAATAGCGAAATATTGTTCCGATTTAGAAAATCTTCAGTAAATGTTATACAAGGTCAAACGATCATAATAATATTATGGATGCCACAGTTTTTCGCGGCTTGTGGGCGTAAGAGTGGGAGTGGCAGGATACTTAAAACTTGCGCTGCAAGACAGCCGGACGGACGGACGGACGGAAGGACAGATGGACATGGCTTTATCGACTCGGCTATCGATCCTGATCAAGAATTTATATACTTTATAGGGTCGGAATCGCTTCCTTCTACATGTTAGATAATTTTAAATTAATCAAATATACCCCTTTACTCTTCGAGTAATGGGTATAAAAATGTACTGTTTTTGGACGAAATAGTTGGTGTGACCATTGCTGGTAGAACATTGATCTGTGATGGCATCTCTTGAATTTGCTTTACAATAATATGTCGCCAACGTTTTTCGGGTGTTAGGCGTAAGACTGATAATGGCTTGTTTCTAAAACCACCTTATGCTGCGTTATCATATTAAAAATCTTCATGGTATTCCCAAAGTTCAATCATTTTAAAGATATTAGATCTTATATCTCCTTCAGCAATACATTTGTTTTGAGTTGAACTGTCTGTGGCTGTTGTGTCTTGTCTTTCTCTTTCTTCCTACGAATTCCGGCTGTAGCTGGATGATCGAGACTTTCGTCGAATTATTTCTTAACGTGTATTAAAGCAAATCGCGGCACTTCCTTTTGTATAGTGGGGCTGTCAATGATTAGCCAGAGTCCACACAAAATAGGAGCACGGGAGAGCGTGTGTATGGTGTCTTCTTAAATCGAAAGCCGGAAGTTGGAGAGCTACAGTATGGATAGCGGGAAGTAAAAGATGTAAGAGTGATTTTGTAGTCTTAATAAGCGTGGCGTCCACTAACTTTATTTTAGTAAGTGGTGTATCTGGCTTGAATTCTATCATTTTAAAAGATTGTACCGTAGTAAAGGGTTTATATTGGGGTTTATAAAGGGTTTGGTAATCCCGTGCAGCGGTCTGTGGGTTATACTGGCTTCGGTAGCTGCAGCTGCAACGGGCGGTTGCACTTCTGTCCTTCTTCGGAGAAACTTCCTCCGTTATTACTTTCACTTAAGGCAAGGTAACCAATTTATGACTTAAAGCTAACAAGAATTGATCTTCATAGCTACCACGCAAGTATGCTGTGTTGCCGGCTATGCATGCGCACCCGGCAAGACGCTGTCAGCAATTTGGTCGGAACGAGCTCTTTTACGATACAAATAACTTGTATGCGCCACACTTAGTGTATGTTAGCATGATCTTTGTGCTTACAACTGTGTTTAGATAAGTTAGTGTGACTGTTTATTATACATGTTAGTGTGACCGCCTGCTACAGTAGATATTAATAAAACTTTGAAGTCATCGGTGCCCAAATTCGTCTAATGGCAGAGATATGAAAACGTGCACATATGTAGTGACGTTTTGGTTTGGTTTGCAACTCTACACATAAAAACACCTTATTTTTGCTAACCAATTCTTCACTCATTTCAACACTCACGTCGATGGTCCACTGCGAAAAAACTCGAAGCTGCAAGCATACGTTATAAAGAATGATTTCCATTGCAAGTATTTGAGGATGATGGAGGAAAAGAGGAGAACAGTTTGCGACGAAATGCGGTGGGAAGCGGAAAACGCAAAATGATTTCTGGGCTAGTACCGAGAGCGTTAAAACCTAATGAGAGATCGAGTGAAGTTAGCCCAAATTGGCAATCAGAGCACAGGCAAGGAGCATTTTTGGTTCTAATAATCCCGTTTGATATAATCATTTTTCCCAAAAATAGCCGAATACCTAGATATTATTAACGAAAGTTGGTCTGCCCTAAGCGAATCATAAATATTTTCCAAACTATTCGCACATAAACGCCCAATATAAATGACATAAAAGCACACCGAAAATACTCGAGATGAATAGAAGAAACTTTCCTTCATTATTTCCTTATTTGCCCCACCTAATTCCAGCTGATCGATGATTCCGATGATTAGTGCAACACAACATTCAACTTTCAACCCGTTTAGAATCCATAAAAAGAGAAAACAGAACACAAAGAAGAAAATTATTTAAAAACGCATTAAAGTTGTGAATTTTTGTTGCTTATGCTAGAGTGACCGCCTGATACAAACAAAAGGTATAATTTTTCCTATATATAGCACTAAAATAGTCGTAAAGTATTCAGATGGGGTCGCAAAAACGAAGGTGTCTAGATTGATAGAAATCTTAAGCCTTTTGAAATTGAATAGCTATTAACCTACACATAATTATACTCTATTTTTAATAACTGTACCCTTGAGGATCAAGTATACCCAGATCTTCTATTCAGTCACCTAAACAATGGTAATTTTAAAAGAATTTGATAGTTTTTACTTTAAATGTAACCCCCTTTAAATCCTGTTAATTATCGAAGCGTAAATACTGATCAAGAATGTATATAATTCTTCCGTCCAGTAGAATTTCCTTCACATCGATTCAAATGCGTGGGCTAAGTTTTAGTACCTTCACAGAGAATTTGAATTAAAAATGAAAACAGTGGGAAAACTTTAATTTATTTACCATTAAATATATAGTGCTCAGTGCTCAGCGCCTTGCTCTGAGTGCTCATTTGCTTTTGTAAATACTCGGAGCATAGGGACTTGCTCGCCCATGAGCTTTGAGCGCTCGCGGCGATATTACACTAACAATTTTTCGTTTTCCTATCTCCGCCTCATTCCAACACCAAACGCAATATACAGTGTGACAATAAATAACCCGGACAAACATTTTTGATCATAACTTTTTAAAGAACTGTATTTGAGAAAAAATGCATATACACAACTATTAAATAGGAATTGTGTTAACATATATTCATAAACGTTTCTGGAAATTTAGCGCAATGGGCTGCAGGTCTTCTTCCGATAATCGATCCCATTATCGGAGCAATGATTGCTCTAGCGCCTCAAAACTTATGTGGCGTTTAGCACATGCCCTGGACTCCAAAATAGACCACACACTGTAGTCCATCGGCTTAAGATCTGGCGAGTAAGGTGGCCATTCACTGGATGTGATAAAGTCCGGAAAATTGGCTTTTCACCAGTCCTGAGTCAATTTGGCTCTATGGGCTGGCGCTGAATCCTGTTGAAACGTTCACTCAGTATCACCGAAGTGCTGGTGGGCCCACGGAAGCACAACAGTTTCCAAAATGTCCCGGCGGTTCACTTCCTGATTGATTTTGACCCCTTGATCGATGAAAACAAGGGGTGTTTTGCCGGTGGCGCATATTCCTCCCCAAGCCATTAAAGACTGCTCACATTGACGGCGCTCGATTATTGCAGAGGTACCTTGAGCTTCAGCCGAACAGCTTCTGTCATTTTGGTGATTGTGCGCCTGTTGGATGGTGAATATCTTTTCGTCCGTGAAGAGAATACGCTCCAATTTTTGACCTGCGGCCCGACGCTTTAGCTGACGGCATCTTTGGAGTCTCACGCGCTTAATGTCATCCGTAAGAAGATGCACTTTTTGGAGCTTGTAGGGCTTGAGATTAAGTTCATTTTTTGCAATCAACCGAACACTTTCTCGATTCACTCCGATTTCACGGGCTATTTTTCTGCCCGAGACTCTGCAATTCCGAGTGATCCGCATTTTCACGATCTGGCGAATTCTGGAAGTGTTAGCGGTGCACGGTCTGCCTCGTCCGGGACGGTCACTTTCATG